ATTTGTTTGTTGATGGGAACTTAGGTTGTTTCCAACTCTTTGCTATTGTGAACAAAGCCATGATAAACCTGGAAGCTTGGAAGAACTCTAGAAGTCCTAATCCGCGGCATACACAGTCTTCCAAACATCCTGAAAAATCTACAATCAGGAGAGGATAAACTAGATGAATGGAACCTTTTAAGAATCAAATCCTTATGCATATCCAAAAACTTCTCCAACAGGGTAAAATGGGAAGCCACAGACTGGGAAAAAAAGATTTGGTAATGATGTGTTTGATAAGGGACTTATATCTAGAATTTATAAAATACTCGAGTGCCACAAGAAGATGAAGGTAAACAACCCAAATGAAAAATGGGCACAGGCTATGAACAAACACTTCACCATAGAAGACATTCAGATGGCCAACACACACATGAAGAAATGTTCAAAATCCCTACCTCTAAAAGAAATGCAAATCAGAACAACTATGAGATATCATTTTACCCAGTAAGAATAGCAAAATTTAACAGGATAGCAAACAACAAATGCTGGTAAGGTTGTGGAGAAACTGGAAGCCTTATTCACTGTTAGTGGGAGTGTAAAATAGTGCAAACACTACAGAAAGCAGCATTACACTTTCTCAAAAAGTTGCAAATAGAAATACCATTTAACCTAGCAGTTCCACTACTGGGAATATACCCTAAAGAAACCATAACCGCCACCTAAGCAGATAAATGCACAGCCATGTTTATCGTGGCTTTGTTCACAAAGGGTTTATTTTTAAGATAATGATACTTTTCATGACAAAATTGAAGGCAGTGATGGTTGTGTTAGTGTACAAGGACACTAAAAACAATTGAATTGTTTCATCTGAATGGATTAATTGAATGGCATGTGAATTATTAGATAATTTAGTTACTCATTGCCATCAAGTCAGAATCAACTCAAATCTGCCCTTTTAGCAGATTTTTCTGAGGCTGTAAGTCACCCGAAAGGTCACCCATCTTCTTCCTGAGATGTAGCTAGTGAACCACCTGCCTTTGGTTTGGTAGCACAGCTCCTTCTCCATGAGCTAACGAGAACTCCTTATTACAGTATAAGAATTAAAAACTACTGCACAATAAAACGTAAAAGTTTTGAAAAGTGATTTGAAATAACTACAACAGCAATATTAATAATAATCATCAATATAAATATTCATACACACCTTTTTAAAAACATCCCAAGGTATAGATTTTTTGACTGTTGTTTGTGGACTATTGTATATTTTGCATATTATTTAATTGTATAACTTTTAAGCTCTTAATATTTACAAGTTTCAGATATGATGAAATATCAATAAGTATACTTTTTTGAGATTTATACACCAATATTTATTGTTGCAATATTCACAATAGTCAAAGGTGGACATAATCCATGTGTTATTTCTGACGTTGGTTATTCAAATTCATGTTATAATAATTATATACTTTACATTGCTCTATAAGTATTTGTTTTGGATTTAAGGATGCCTCTTATTCTCTCAATTGCTTTTGCAATTTAGCAAAAATATTTTAAAAATAATTCTTTTTAATATAGTCCTTAAAATTGTATATTTAGCAAATAATCTTGACCATATCTTTTTTTCTTTTAGATTGGTAGCAGTTCTGTTTTGGATTCCCCTGAAAATAATAAGTATTGTGGTACAGAAGTACCATCAATTATAACATCAGTACATAATATTTTATTTGTTACATTCGTGAAAAGTTCTTCTATGCAAAATCATGGTTTCATAGCTAAGTTCAGTACTGAAAACTTAGGTAAGGAATTGTCTCTTTCTCCTGGTTGATTTTTTGTGTTATATCAGAATAAATAGGCATTGAGAACAGAATATGGTGTAAAACCCAGATTATTTTCAAAGTACATTCAAAAGCAAAGAAGTTACATATCAGCATATATCCATCCACTGATCAGTTTGTTGTATTCTGGTGGTGAATTTATTTATGATGCAGGAATCTATGTCATTCTTATTTCATTTAGCAGGTCATGCATGTTAGTTTTAGTTTCTAACTAGTTTTTCAGTGGTAGTTCCCCATTAAGATAGACTAGAAAGAAAGGCCAGGTGATGTATTTCCCATAATGGCCAATAAAATCCTTACAGATCATACCAAAGTGTTCTTCAGTTGATTACTTTGGACAAACCATTAGAAGAGATCAATTAGTAGAGTAATATACCATATTTAGTGAACCCAAAGGCCTAATAAAAGTGTGGAAGACTTGGTGCGATGGATTGGTGCCTTAGCTGCAATGATAGACTTGAATGCAATTATAAATATGAGGATGATATTGGGCATCTATTTTTTGTTCTGTTAAAATTTGCTGACTTCATTGGTCAGAATACATTTGATGTTAGTTAACAACAATCAACATCTACACAAATAGTTAATTAATTGGTGTCATATTAACTAAGAAAATGACAAGTTATGTTTAGTGGAATATAAAGGACTAAATTTTTTTTAAATGTTTAAGAAGCTGGTACCAGATTATTTGATTCTGAGATCCAAAGAGTTTGTTGGTAACTTGTTTAACAATTATTATGTATTTTATTTTATTAGCTTGTGGAAAAAGTCTTACAGCACCAACAGGAACAATTCAAAGTCCTGGCTATCCATATGTATATCCCCATGGTGTCAACTGTACCTGGCATATATTAGTTGAAACAGGCCAACAGATTCGTTTAAAATTTAAAAAATTTCATCTGGAATTTCATTACAACTGCACAAATGATTTTCTGGAAGTTTATGACACTGGCTCTAACACCTTTCTTGGGAGGTAAGATCTGATTTTCATAGCATAATTATTTTGATATATGGATAAAGATATATATGACTGGAAGAGATCTATATTTGTTCCCATCCCAAAGAAGGCTGACCCAACAGAGTGTGGAAACTATAGAACAATCTCATTAATTTCACATGCAAACAAGATTCTACTGAAGATTATCCAAAAACGACTGGAACAACACTTCAGCATAGAACTGCCAGAGTCCAGGCTGGGTTTAGAAGGGGCCGTGGTACTAGGGATATTATAGCTAATGTTAGATGGATCTTTGCTTAAAGCAGGGAATACCAGAGGAATG